ACTGCATCCCTGTTAAGTTGAAGTTCCGGAATGAAATTGGCTGCCATCATCTTTATTGCGGTCGATTGCGAGCAATTGCGCCGTTGTTATGAAGTAATAGTGCGGTGTTAGGCTTAGGTTTAGGTTAGGGCGCCGCTTAGGGCGCTGTTAGGCTTAGGTTTAGGTTAGGGCGCCGCTTAGGGCGCTGTTAGGCTTAGGTTTAGGTTAGGGCGCCGCTTAGGGCGCTGCTTAGGGCGCTGTTAGGCTTAGGTTTAGGTTAGGGCGCTGCTTAGGGCGGCGTTAGGCTTAGGTTTAGGTTAGGGCCTTAGGGCGTTGATTATTATTAATGCTGAAGCTGAGGAATTTTCTGAAGTGGCTGCTACCCCACATTTATAGTTATAGCTTTTGAGAAACCAGAAGGAGTTCCTGCAGTTGGTAAATTGAGGGTTCATTAATCTCCTTGGCATGCAGCCCTGCTTATTGCAGGTCAGTCATTCATCTTGATCCCCTCTTCATTTTTTATTGTATTCTGAATCAAGCATGGTGTTATTTGTGTCTAAAATGTAACGGTCTCTGTATTTATCTTATGTGTATATTTATCACTTAAACATTGTTTGGTTTAACACAAAATTTGTTTTGATAGATTCTGAGTTGAAAGTTGGAGAAAATGATGTGTTTTTTGTCCTTGTTTGGTTAGAAAAGTGGGACGAAATGAAAAAACATTGTCAGGATGATACGTTTAAAAAATCTCTTCTCAAATGATCTCTTCAAGACAATTTGGATGATACGTTTAAAAAAACATTGTTGTGAAAAAAAGCATTCCCGTTTCTGTGCTACTTAGGACGAGACTTGACAAGAAAAACAGAGCAAAACAATTTGGACTCACTGAAATAGACACATCCACCCTTTGTTTTTACTATATGAACATGTCATTATTGATAGTAATATAATGTCTTCTACTTCTCTCAATCCAAACAATTAAAACATGTACTTACTATCTCTTAACCCCTACTTCTTTCTTTCCTATCTTCATCCAAACAGAGTATAAGAGTGAAAGTCAAAATGGAGAAAAAGGTGAGAGGAGAGAAAGCAGTGACAAATAGAATAGACTGTGAATATTGTTTATACCAAAAGTAAGGAAAAGAAGAGAAAGAAATGGTGCCAATTATCAAAGAACAAAAAACATTTTTAGAACACAATCTCCATTAAAATTAATTGCTAAAGGAAGGGTAAATTAGGATATTAACAAACGAAATCCTTCATGAGCTCCTACTTTATTTGAGCCTGGGTAACTAAATCACTAATACTAGTACACTCTTCAAATAAGGAATTGTGTAAACGATGTAGATATAATATTAAATAAAGACGTGTGTACTGTCAGTCCGATTGATGAGAAAGTTGAAACTGTGTTATTGTCTTGTGAGTACTTGGCAGGGAACGGAAGGGTGCAGTGAGTTAGGTTGGTTTAGGGCATTTTTTGAAAAGATCATTTTTTGAATCTGATGGGGAATCCTTCATGAGCCCCTACTTTATTTTGCATCTTCTGTTCCTCAACTGTTCAAGTAATTGAGACTTAATGGGGAAAATAGAACGTCTATATACATAAGTGGTCGGAAGTTAAATAAAAAAACTTAAGAAAAGAACCAATCACAATTTCAAACCTTCAACAAGTGCTATATAACACTTGCTTTTGATTCTTGCGAGGCCAATAACACTTGCTCTTGCATATGCATTCTCGATTTCAAGTGAGTAATAAATTTGCGACCGTTGTATGTGCATTGCACTGCATCCCTGTTAAGTTGAAGTTCCGGAATGAAATTGGCTGCCATCATCTTTATAGCGGTCGATTGCGAGCAATTGCGCCGTTGTTATGAAGTAATAGTGCGCTGTTAGGCTTAGGTTTAGGTTAGGGCGCCGCTTACGGCGCTGTTAGGCTTAGGTTTAGGTTAGGGCGCCGCTTAGGGCGCTGTTAGGCTTAGGTTTAGGTTAGGGCGCTGCTTAGGGCGCTGTTAGGCTTAGGTTTAGGTTAGGGCGCTGCTTAGGGCGGCGTTAGGCTTAGGTTTAGGTTAGGGCCTTAGGGCGTTGATTATTATTAATGCTGAAGCTGAGGAATTTTCTGAAGTGGCTGCTACCCCACATTTATAGTTATAGCTTTTGAGAAACCAGAAGGAGTTCCTGCAGTTGGTAAATTGAGGGTTCATTAATCTCCTTGGCATGCAGCCCTGCTTATTGCAGGTCAGTCATTCATCTTGATCCCCTCTTCATTTTTTATTGTATTCTGAATCAAGCATGGTGTTATTTGTGTCTAAAATGTAACGGTCTCTGTATTTATCTTATGTGTATATTTATCACTTAAACATTGTTTGGTTTAACACAAAATTTGTTTTGATAGATTCTGAGTTGAAAGTTGGAGAAAATGATGTGTTTTTTGTCCTTGTTTGGTTAGAAAAGTGGGACGAAATGAAAAAACATTGTCAGGATGATACGTTTAAAAAATCTCTTCTCAAATGATCTCTTCAAGACAATTTGGATGATACGTCTAAAAAAACATTGTTGTGAAAAAAAGCATTCCCGTTTCTGTGCTACTTAGGACGAGACTTGACAAGAAAAACAGAGCAAAACAATTTGGACTCACTGAATAGACATATCCACCCTTTGTTTATACTATATGAACATGTCATTATTGATAGTAATATAATGTCTTCTACTTCTCTCAATCCAAACAATTAAAACATGTACTTACTATCTCTTAACCCGTACTTCTTTCTTTCCTATCTTCATCCAAACAGAGTATAAGAGTGAAAGTCAAAATGGAGAAAAAGGTGAGAGGAGAGAAAGCAGTGACAAATAGAATAGACTGTGAATATTGTTTATACCAAAAGTAAGGAAAAGAAGAGAAAGAAATGGTGCCAATTATCAAAGAACAAAAAACATTTTTAGAACACAATCTCCATTGAAATTAATTGCCAAAGGAAGGGTAAATTAGGATATTAACAAACGAAATCCTTCATGAGCTCCTACTTTATTTGAGCCTGGGTAACTAAATCACTAATACTAGTACACTCTTCAAATAAGGAATTGTGTAAACAAGGTAGATATAATATTAAATAAAGACGTGTGTACTGTCAGTCCGATTGATGAGAAAGTTGAAACTGTGTTATTGTCTTGTGAGTACTTGGCAGGGAACGGAAGGGTGCAGTGAGTTAGGTTGGTTTAGGGCATTTTTTGAAAAGATCATTTTTTGAATCTGATGGGGAATCCTTCATGAGCCCCTACTTTATTTTGCATCTTTTGTTCCTCAACTGTTCAAGTAATTGAGACTTAATGGGGAAAATAGAACGTCTATATACATAAGTGGTCGGAAGTTAAATAAAAAAACTTAAGAAAAGAACCAATCACAATTTCAAACCTTCAACAAGTGCTATATAACACTTGCTTTTGATTCTTGCGAGGCCAATAACACTTGCTCCTGCATATGCATTCTCGATTTCAAGTGAGTAATAAATTTGCGACCGTTGTATGTGCATTGCACTGCATCCCTGTTAAGTTGAAGTTCCGGAATGAAATTGGCTGCCATCGTCTTTATTGCGGTCGATTGCGAGCAATTGCGCCGTTGTTATGAAGTAATAGTGCGCTGTTAGGCTTAGGTTTAGGTTAGGGCGCCGCTTAGGGCGCTTTTAGGCTTAGGTTTGGGTTAGGGCGCCGCTTAGGGCGCTGTTAGGCTTAGGTTTAGGTTAGGGCGCCGCTTAGGGCGCTGCTTAGGGCGCTGTTAGGCTTAGGTTTAGGTTAGGGCGCTGCTTAGGGCGGCGTTAGGCTTAGGTTTAGGTTAGGGCCTTAGGGCGTTGATTATTATTAATGCTGAAGCTGAGGAATTTTCTGAAGTGGCTGCTACCCCACATTTATAGTTATAGCTTTTGAGAAACCAGAAGGAGTTCCTGCAGTTGGTAAATTGAGGGTTCATTAATCTCCTTGGCATGCAGCCCTGCTTATTGCAGGTCAGTCATTCATCTTGATCCCCTCTTCATTTTTTATTGTATTCTGAATCAAGCATGGTGTTATTTGTGTCTAAAATGTAACGGTCTCTGTATTTATCTTATGTGTATATTTATCACTTAAACATTGTTTGGTTTAACACAAAATTTGTTTTGATAGATTCTGAGTTGAAAGTTGGAGAAAATGATGTGTTTTTTGTCCTTGTTTGGTTAGAAAAGTGGGACGAAATGAAAAAACATTGTCAGGATGATACGTTTAAAAAATCTCTTCTCAAATGATCTCTTCAAGACAATTTGGATGATACGTTTAAAAAAACATTGTTGTGAAAAAAAGCATTCCCGTTTCTGTGCTACTTAGGACGAGACTTGACAAGAAAAACAGAGCAAAACAATTTGGACTCACTGAAATAGACATATCCACCCTTTGTTTTTACTATATAAACATGTCATTATTAATAGTAATATAATGTCTTCTACTTCTCTCAATCCAAACAATTAAAACATGTACTTACTATCTCTTAACCCCTACTTCTTTCTTTCCTATCTTCATCCAAACAGAGTATAAGAGTGAAAGTCAAAATGGAGAAACAGGTGAGAGGAGAGAAAGCAGTGTCAAATAGAATAGACTGTGAATATTGTTTATACCAAAAGTAAGGAAAAGAAGAGAAAGAAATGGTGCCAATTATCAAAGAACAAAAAACATTTTTAGAACACAATCTCTATTGAAATTAATAGCTAAAGGAAGGGTAAATTAGTATATTAACAAACAAAATCCTTCATGAGCTCCTTCTTAGGGCGCTGTTAGGCTTAGGTTTAGGTTAGGGCGCCGCTTAGGGCGCTGTTAGGCTTAGGTTTAGGTTAGGGCGCCGCTTAGGGCGCTGCTTAGGGCGCTGTTAGGCTTAGGTGTAGGTTAGGGCGCTGCTTAGGGCGGCGTTAGGCTTAGGTTTAGGTTAGGGCCTTAGGGCGTTGATTATTATTAATGCTGAAGCTGAGGAATTTTCTGAAGTGGCTGCTACCCCACATTTATAGTTATAGCTTTTGAGAAACCAGAAGGAGTGCCTGCAGTTGGTAAATTGAGGGTTCATTAATCTCCTTGGCATGCAGCCCTGCTTATTGCAGGTCAGTCATTCATCTTGATCCCCTCTTCATTTTTTATAGTATTCTGAATCAAGCATGGTGTTATTTGTGTCTAAAATGTAACGGTCTCTGTATTTATCTTATGTGTATATTTATCACTTAAACATTGTTTGGTTTAACACAAAATTTGTTTTGATAGATTCTGAGTTGAAAGTTGGAGAAAATGATGTGTTTTTTGTCCTTGTTTGGTTAGAAAAGTGGGACGAAATGAAAAAACATTGTCAGGATGATACGTTTAAAAAATCTCATCTCAAATGATCTCTTCAAGACAATTTGGATGATACGTTTAAAAAAACATTGTTGTGAAAAAAAGCATTCCCGTTTCTGTGCTACTTAGGACGAGACTTGACAAGAAAAACAGAGCAAAACAATTTGGACTCACTGAAATAGACATATCCACCCTTTGTTTTTACTATATGAACATGTCATTATTGATAGTAATATAATGTCTTCTACTTCTCTCAATCCAAATAATTAAAACATGTACTTACGATCTCTTAACCCCTACTTCTTTCTGTCCTATCTTCATCCAAACAGAGTATAAGAGTGAAAGTCAAAATGGAGAAAAAGGTGAGAGGAGAGAAAGCAGTGTCAAATAGAATAGACTGTGAATATTGTTTATACCAAAAGTAAGGAAAAGAAGAGAAAGAAATGGTGCCAATTATCAAAGAACAAAAAACATTTTTAGAACACAATCTCCATTGAAATTAATTGCTAAAGGAAGGGTAAATTAGGATATTAACAAACGAAATCCTTCATGAGCTCCTACTTTATTTGAGCCTGGGTAACTAAATCACTAATACTAGTACACTCTTCAAATAAGGAATTGTGTAAACAAGGTAGATATAATATTAAATAAAGACGTGTGTACTGTCAGTCCGATTGATGAGAAAGCTGAAACTGTGTTATCGTCTTGTGAGTACTTTGCAGGGAACGGAAGGGTGCAGTGAGTTAGGTTGGTTTAGGGCATTTTTTGAAAAGATCATTTTTTGAATCTGATGGGGAATCCTTCATGAGCTCCTACTTTATTTTGCATCTTCTGTTCCTCAACTGTTCAAGTAATTGAGACTTAATGGGGAAAATAGAACGTCTATATACATAAGTGGTCGGAAGTTAACTAAAAAAACTTTAGAAAAGAACCAATCACAATTTTCAAACCTACAACAAGTGCTATATAACACTTGCTTTTGATTCTTGCGAGGCCAATAACACTTGCTCCTGCATATGCATTCTCGATTTCAAGTGAGTAATAAATTTGCGACCGTTGTATGTGCATTGCACTGCATCCCTGTTGATTTGAAGTTCCGGAATGAAATTGGCTGCCATCATCTTTATGAAGTAATAGTGCGCTGTTAGGCTTAGGTTTAGGTTAGGGCGCCGCTTAGGGCGCTGTTAGGCTTAGGTTTAGGTTTGGGCGCCGCTTAGGGTGCTGTTAGGCTTAGGTTTAGGTTAAGGCGCCGCTTAGGGCGCTGCTTAGGGCGCTGTTAGGCTTAGGTTTAGGTTAGGGCGCTGCTTAGGGCGGCGTTAGGCTTAGGTTTAGGTTAGGGCCTTAGGGCGTTGATTATTAATAATGCTGACGCTGAGGAATTTTCTGAAGTGGCTGCTACCCCACATTTATAGTTATAGCTTTTGAGAAACCAGAAGGAGTGCCTGCAGTTGGTAAATTGAGGGTTCATTAATCTCCTTGGCATGCAGCCCTGCTTATTGCAGGTCATTCATTCATCTTGATCCCCTCTTCATTTTTTATTGTATTCTGAATCAAGCATGGTGTTATTTGTGTCTAAAATGTAACGGTCTCTGTATTTATCTTATGTGTATATTTATCACTTAAACATTGTTTGGTTTAACACAAAATTTGTTTTGATAGATTCTGAGTTGAAAGTTGGAGAAAATGATGTGTTTTTTGTCCTTGTTTGGTTAGAAAAGTGGGACGAAATGAAAAAACATTGTCAGGATGATACGTTTAAAAAATCTCTTCTCAAATGATCTCTTCAAGACAATTTGGATGATACGTTTAAAAAAACATTGTTGTGAAAAAAGCATTCCCGTTTCTGTGCTACTTAGGACGAGACTTGACAAGAAAAACAGAGCAAAACAATTTGGACTCACTGAAATAGACATATCCACCCTTTGTTTTTACTATATAAACATGTCATTATTGATAGTAATATAATGTCTTCTACTTCTCTCAATCCAAACAATTAAAACATGTACTTACTATCTCTTAACCCCTACTTCTTTCTTTCCTATCTTCATCCAAACAGAGTATAAGAGTGAAAGTCAAAATGGAGAAAAAGGTGAGAGGAGAGAAAGCAGTGTCAAATAGAATAGACTGTGAATATTGTTTATACCAAAAGTAAGGAAAAGAAGAGAAAGAAATGGTGCCAATCATCAAAGAACAAAAAACATTTTTAGAACACAATCTCCATTGAAATTAATTGCTAAAGGAAGGGTAAATTAGGATATTAACAAACGAAATCCTTCATGAGCTCCTACTTTATTTGAGCTTGAGTAACTAAATCACTAATACTAGTACACTCTTCAAATAAGGAATTGTGTAAACAAGGTAGATATAATATTAAATAAAGACGTGTGTACTGTCAGTCCGATTGATGAGAAAGCTGAAACTGTGTTATTGTCTTGTGAGTACTTGGCAGGGAACGGAAGGGTGCAGTGAGTTAGGTTGGTTTAGGGCATTTTTTGAAAAGATCATTTTTTGAATCTGATGGGGAATCCTTCATGAGCTCCTACTTTATTTTGCATTTTCTGTTCCTCAACTGTTCAAGTAATTGAGACTTAATGGGGAAAATAGAACGTCTATATACATAAGTGGTCGGAAGTTAACTAAAAAAACTTAAGAAAAGAACCAATCACAATTTCAAACCTACAACAAGTGCTATATAACACTTGCTTTTGATTCTTGTGAGGCCAATAACTCTTGCTCCTGCATATGCATTCTCGATTTCAAGTGAGTAATAAATTTGCGACCGTTGTATGTGCATTGCACTGCATCCCTGTTAAGTTGAAGTTCCGGAATGAAATTGGCTGCCATCATCTTTATTGCGGTCGATTGCGAGCAATTGCGCCGTTGTTATGAAGTAATAGTGCAAAGGTGTTTGGCTCTTTTGAATGGTTACAGTTTTGTCTTCCTCTTCTTCATCTTTGTGTTGGGGGTCTCACGGGCTGTTGTTTGTCTTGTTGGGTTGGCCTGGCACAATAATAAACACAATTTAATGTATAAAGACTCACAATTAACACGATTTATAGATAGTGCTACACAACTGACAATTTAAATTTATACTACCTCTGTCCCGCTATGATTGTCCCGTTTTACCTTATCAGTCCATCCCACTAAGATTGTCCCATACCAAATTTAATAAAGTTTGTCTGACTCTAAATCATTTATACTTTAATCTTACTTTATCAATTCAATTTCAACAACATAAAACACTGTTTATTGATTTGCGTGCCACTCCCTCTTGTCCTATTGTTAGCGGGACGGAGGGAGTATAATTTAATGTATAAATACTTTCAGATAGAGAATTGATATTTACTCAAAATATTATATAGGTCGAAATAGTGTTCTCTTTTCGCAAAGTTCAAGTATTTGGAACATATTATTTCGTGTTTATGTGTGCTTCATCTTCTTCCTATCCATATAGAGAAGTTCCTCCCAGAAAAAGAATCAGTAAGGAAAACACAATGCTAATCAAAATCTCAATATCACGCATTGCTCTTATTTTCTTTTCTATAGCACTTCTTCCTCATATTCATGCATTTACAGAAACTGATATGTAAATGCACAGAATTCTTGGAAGCTAATTCATCGTATAGTGAAAACAATGGTAACTTGGAATTTCATATTCATGCATTTCATGTATTAGACTTTTCTTCTTCTTTTGCACATTTCAGGAAGCTAACTTGGAATTCTTCCACTCCCCCTGATCTGCAATTATTTGGCCATCATAGAATTGATATGTACTCTTTCAAATATGGTAAAAGTGAAAACAATGTTTTTTTTGCAAAAATCAAATATTTCCAACCATGTTATTATGTATGTATGCTTCATCTTCCTGCTCCATACAAGGAAGTTCTTCCCAGAAGAAGAATTAGTTAAAAAAATGGTAATCAAAATCTCACTATCTCACTATCATGTGTTGCTCTTTTGTGGTTTATGCTATGTAAACCAGATAAGCCATGATTTTCCTTTATATATGCCGGTTCTTAAAAAGAATGGTCTGGTTTTGTAATAGAAGCTTGCATGTTTCATCAATGTTCCATTCTTAAATAATAAGGCTTGGCGGAAGTAGTTGGCTAATAATAGGGCTCCAGAAGACATTTGCTTAGAGTTGGCAAAAGACAGCGCATATCTATTTTAATGTTTTTTTTGAACCTGGATCAATCGCAAGCTTATTTATTCTAACAGAATCCAATATGCAAAAGACACCAATTTGGGTCTCAAACCAATGATGCACTTGCAACATTCACACCAAAGAACCAGACTAAAACTACAACTAGTTCATTGCACAACACTCTCACCCCAGTTTAAGTGCACTTGAACGATTGAATCGAGATATAATCAAAACTTGTTATGTATGCCACCAGCCAAAAAATTAATGGTTCTTCGTATTTTCTAGAGATAAAAGGCTTACTATAACCTCCTTTAGAAAAAGCATATCACCTTCCCAAAGGGTGAACCATGAACACCCTCGTTTAAGGAACTGGAAATATAGAAAGTTCAGTCTATAGTTCAATTGCAAATAGCACTCTGTTGATGTACATCTTTGGGATGCTCTTCCTGATAAGATCATTGTACCATTTGACTTTTCAAACCAGCTCACTCTACCCATACGATTGGAGCAACATCTCATGCTACAATTGCTAATGAAATTGTAAGTTCATATTATGATTCAATTTTTTTTCAAGCTTCTAAGGGTGATAATAGTTTTGCACCATGTTTAAGCATTATTGATATAATTAGTATCTAACATCATATATGTCACTGTGGTCATTATTATTGTAAAGGAGAAAAGTTCTCAAACTAAGGTGACAACTTATCAGGTTTTTTGTACACACGCATACAAAGAATAATGACGGAGTGACTTTCGTATATGACCAAGATAAAGAGCTAAATGTAGGTATTTTTTAAACTTTATTTGTAAAAATGTGCTCTTATAATTAATTTATACAAAATTGTAGGAAGAAATTGTGATGCTCGTGAGGAGTTAATTGATATTGGAGAAGAGGTTGATGATGAAGAATTGTTTTATAATATTGTTGGTGGAGAAGATGGCAACATCAGACTTTATGGACTTGGCTCATTCAGAGAACATTTTGTTCATAATCATGCATCAGAACGCTCTTCAAAAGCATGCACTTCATCACAACAAAGTAAGCGCGTTGATACAGATCATTTATAAGCTGAAGTTAAAAGGTTGCAAGAAATTGTAGAACAAACAAAGGGAATATCAACAACAAACAGAACAAAAGCAACAAAAGACTGATGATGTTATCCGTGCTTTGGAGGATCAAATGGAAGATTTAGCTCGTGATAGATCTAGGAGTTATTGAATTATGATATATAGCTTAACTTGCTTCTAATTTGTTTCTTACATCTTATTGTCGAACCTGAATGATTTTTTTTTGTATGTTAAACATGATATAAATACTTCTAAATTTTATAATAACTTATCTTTTTGCAAAGTTGCTTGGTGCATATTTTATTATAATAAATATGTTTCAATACATACTGTAAACATTTGCAAGAGAAATATGCAATGAAAATAAATAAAATATGTAGTATATACTCCCTCTGTCCCTAATTAGGGGTGGACTCGGGCCGGGCCAACCGGCCTGGAACCGGACCGGCCCGCCACTGTGCGGGCCCGGACCGGCCCGCCACTGTGCGGGCCCGGACCGGCCCGGGAACCGGTTCGTTGGCCGGTTCGGGCCACCCGGCCCGGTGGATTCTCGGTTCGGGCTCGGGCCCTTCAAAAGGTGAACCGGCCCGGCCGGTTCGGGGCCGGGCCGGGCCAATTTTAATTTTTTTTTTTGATTTTTTTTTTGAGTTTTTGGGTTGGGCTGGTTATTTTGGGCCATTTGAGGTGGTTAGGGTTGGTTTGGGGGTGAGGGGGAGGGGTGGGGGTTAACTAGGAAAAGCCCAAAAAAAAAAATATATATACCCGAGGCCCGGTTCGGCCCGGACCCGGGGGTTACCCGGCCCGGCCCGGACCCGGGGGTTACCCGGGCCGGTCCAGGCCTCCCCTTCTTGAACCGAGGCCCGGCCGGGCCCGAACCGGCCTGAGTCCAATCCTATCCCTAATAACTTTGCCAAGTTTGACCGGCACGGGGATTAATAGAGTAAAAACTGTGTGGTTGAGGTTTGTGCAGGGGAGAGAAATAACTGCAACTACAAATTCTTTACTTAAAAGGGAAAGTCACAAAGTTAATTGGACATCCAAAAAAGGAAAGTTGGCAAAGTTATAAGGGACGGAAGGAGTATTTGTTTGATGATGCATTATTGCAATATTTTTTGCAATGGACGATACGCAGTTGCAATTTTGCAATGACAGTGGCAATGAATTGTAATAGTAATCACACTTTTATTTAGTAGGAAAATTGCAACATCATTTGCAATTATAAAAAAGTTTGTTGCAATATATGGCGTGTAACTTGCAATGACATTTGCAACAAAATTCAAACGTAATCATGGTTAGTTCTCTTGCAATATTACAACGTCATTTGCAATAATGTTAACTAACGTTGCAAAAGTTGCAATGACATTGCAACATTGGCAACTTAAGTTTCATTGCATTTGTTGCAATAGAAAATTTTCGTTGCAGTTTTTGCTACAGAAAATGCAAACATATTAAACCCATTGCAAATAGTGCAATGAAAAGTGATGTGTTGCAAATTTCACTGCATAACATTGCAATGGTTGTAATTGTAGTTGCAAAAAATTGCAAGGACAACGGGATTGCGTTTGTTGCATTTTCCGTTGCAAATCAAGATTTGCAACGAAATTCGATATTTTGCAATGAAATTTGAAGATAACTGCACAGTTAAACAGTGCAGTACATTTCAGAAAATCATTTGATTGTCTTCCCAGTTGAATTTTTATTTGAAATTTGGTATGGGTAAACTAGACTTAATAAAGAAGACGCTAAAAAAATTTCATCAAACAATTCCACCGAGAACCGCTTGAAATGGCGACGGCCGGACAGAGCCTCCTATATAATGGGTGATTTGCACTTTTTAAATTAGTTCAAGGGCATATTTGACTCTTTAGCCATTTTTTTTTATTTGTACTCCATTTGTACATCACAATTCATAGGTTTTCATGATCTTTCATATATATAACATTATCACATCAATATTGCACATGTAAAATTTAAAAATAATTGAAATTCCAATTGTTGGAAGTTTAGGCTAAAAACACGAAACACAATTTTTAATCCACATTGCCAACACAAATATAATAACTGAATTTTACTTGAACCCATTTTATTCTCGGCTAAAGGGTCAAATAGGTACATGAACTAATTTAAAGTGTTCAATTAGCCCCTTGTATATGAGGTTCTGCTCGGCCGTCGCCAATTAGGGAAGTTCCCGGTGGAATTTTTTGATGAAATGTTTTGAGCATCTTATTCATTAAGTCTAGTTTACTCATACCAAATTTCAGCTAAAAAATCAACCGGGAAGGCAGTGAAATGAATTTTTGAAGATAACTGCGCAGTTAAACAGCGCAGTACCTTTCGGGAAATCATTTGATTGCCTTCCTGATTTAACTTTTAGCTGAAATTTGATATGGGTAAACTAGACTTAATGAAGAAGATGCTCAAAACAATTCATCAAAAATTGTTACCGGGAACCGCCCCAATTGGCGACGGTCGGGCAGAACCTCCTATATAAGGGGCTAATTGAACACTTTAAGTTAGTTCATGTACCTATTTGATCCTTTAGCCTTTTATTCTCTATTAACAGAAAAATGTAATAAAAAAAGTAATAAAGTAGAAATTGTGTAGTTGATGTTTGTGCAGAGGAGAGAAAATTATGTGGAGCCATAAAATCTTTACTAAAAAGGCAAAGTGTCATGCAAAGTTAGTGAGACAACCCAAAATAGAATGTTGCCAAAGTTTTAAGTGACGAAGGACGAGTACGTAGTTATTAACATTGAAATGTGATTTTTTTCATTTCATAATTTGTCAGAAAAATAAACTTGAGCATACATGAGGCTTCCTACTACAGAAGCATAAGGTATCAATCTCATTTGTTCCTTTTCTACCTCTGTTTTCGGGCATTGAAATGAACCGAAAACATCTCCTTTAACTACAGGAGCAACTGAGGGAGAGCAATGTTGCATGTTATAGCGTGCAAGAATACGTTCGATGTAAGCTCTTTGAGATAGTCCTAACACTCCATTGGATCGATCTCTATGTATTTCAATGCCAATTAAGAGGCTTCACCGAGATCTTTCATATAAAAATGGCGTGAAAGTAATCGCTTAGTTTCATGCAACAAATTCAAACTATTACTTGCCAAAAGAATGTCATCTACGTAAAGGACAAGTATGGCAAAATTGCTCCCACTCACTTTAAGGTAGGTACATTGATCCACCCGATTCTTACTGAAACCATTCCTTTTAATGACTTCATCAAATTTCAAGTACCATTGCCTTGATGCTTGTTTTAACCCATATATGGATTTCTTCAATTTACATACTAGGTGTTCTTGACCTTTGGGTTTAAAACCTTTAGGTTGAGTCATGAACACATTTTCATGTAAATCACCATTAAGGAAAGCCGTTTTAACATCCATTTGATGTAACTCCAAATCAAAATGTGCCACTAAGGCCATAACGATGCGTAAGGAATCTTTTCAGGAGATAGGAGAGAAAGTCTCTTGATAATCAATTCCCTCTTTTGAGTGTAGCCTTTAGCAACCAAACGTGCTTTATATCGTTCGATGTTTCCATTTGGGTCTAACTTGGTTTTATAAACCCACTTGCATCCTACATGTTTTACCCCCTTAGGTAGTTCAACAAGTTCCCAAACATCATTCTTTTTCATGAATCAAGCTCATCAATCAATGCCTCATTCCATTGAGCGGATTGGTCACTATTAATGGCTTCACTATAAGAGATAGGATCATTATTCTTCCCTATATCCAATTCAACTTGATTAAGACATGTTATGTAATCATCAAAGTTAGTAGGCCTTCTAGACCTCGATGACCTTCTTAATGAATTTTCGGGTTCTTGAGGTTCAATGGTAACTTCAGGGATTTGCTCCTCTAAATTCGGTATACCTTCATCTAATGGTATATTTGGAGCAACATTTTCCTCGGGAAATGTACTAGGTGAGCAAATTTCATTTACAATAGGTACAATAGGATAAAGTGGTAATTGGGTCATGGGCCCATCCTCTTGCACTTCTTGTAGATTGACAACGAGGTGTGTATTGCTCGCACTAACATTAGAGTTTTCAAGGAATTCGGCATGACGAGTTTCAACTATGCGAGTTGAATTAGAAGGGCAATAAAATCTAAATCCCTTAGATCGTTCAGGATACCCTATAAAGAAGCAACTGACTATTTTCATGTCAAGTTTTCTTTGTTGAGGGTCGTAAAGCTTAGCTTTAGCAGGGCAACCCCATACTTTCATATATCTCAAACTCGGTTTCCTTCCCGTCCAAATTTCGTAAGGTGTCTTAGGAACAACATTAGAAACAACTCTATTGAGTATATGGACTGCTGTTTTTAATGCCTCGGTCCATAAGAATTGAGGCAAGGTGGTGTTTGCTAACATACTTCTTACCATATCCATTAGGGTCCTATTTCTTCTCTCAGCAACACCATTTTGCTGAGGAGTACCCGACATGGTAAATTGGTTCACGATCCCATGTTCTTTACAAAAATCAAAGAAAGGACCGGGAGCTTGACCAATATCAGTATTTCTACCATAATACTCACCCAGGGCCCGGCCATGGGGGCAGTTAACCTAGACACATGTCTAGGGCCCCAACATTTTAGGGGCCTCCAATATTTAAATTAAACCTTTTAACATTATATATGTATAATTAATTGAAATTGTAATTACAACCAGCCCCGTTAAGTAAATTTCAATTCCTAAATACCTATCACTAAATCAACGATACCTGCATTCTTTATTATTCTACTGAAAAAATTCCACTTTTGGTCCCATGACTATTATACCACTTCCGCATTTAGTCCCTTACTTTCAGATTGTCCACATTTAGTCCCTGACCATTATCCCCTCACCACCCCTCGTCCTTCCAGCCAAAATTTCGGCAAATTTAGCCCACTTATCAGCCTCAGAATCGGTCTTTGCATTAAATTTTATATAAGGTTGAATTTTTCATATCACTCTTTGCATTAAATTTGATTTTTCATACCTAAAATCTGCATTAAATTTGCCAGAATTTTGGCCGGAAGGACGAGGGGTGGTGAGAGAATAATGGTCACGGACAAAATGTGGACAATCTGAAAGTAAGAGACTAAATGTGGAAGTGGTATAATAGTCATGGGACCAAAAGTGGAATTGTTTCTTATTCTACTCGATCTTCTTCTATTAGGAATCACCGAATAAAGATTTCACCCTTTACTGTCTTTAGGATTTAGGTGTTTTCGAGCGTGAGTCCAACAATTTGATTTTGTCCAATATTAATTATTTAATTTATTAACTTACTTATGTATGT